CGCTGCTGCTCAGGGACAAGGAACTGCACCATGCAGCCCCACACCCGTGCCAGCGACAAGTCGGGCTTCTTCCCGGTCAGCACCTGGTACGGCGTCGTCCCCGGCGGCAGCACCGACCTCTCAAGGCAGTTGCGGACCCAGACGCCCTGCCGGAGAGCGAGGTGCCACCAGTGGTGCTGCACGCCCATGTGCAGCAGCATTGTCCACACCGACTCCACCACCGTCCTCATCTCACGCTCCGCCATGCCGTTCTGCTGCGGGGTGTATAGGCAGGTCAGGTCGTGGACGATCCCCTTGCCGTTCACGAAGTCGGTGAACTGCTTCCCGAGGAACTCCCCTCCCCGGTCAGAGCGCAGCATCAACACCGACTTCTTTGTCTGCCGCTCAGCCACCGCCAGCCACTGCACGAACACCCGCAACGCATCTGACTTCTTGGCGACCGGCTTCACCCACACGTAGCGGGTCTTGCGGTCCTTCAGCAGCAAGAAGTACAGGCTGCTATCCTTGGCAGCCACGCGGAACGGCCCGCACAGGTCGATGTGCACGACGGCCAGCACGTCGTCGGCGTCGGAGCCTTGGTCGGGGAAGGTGTGCCGCGCCAGTTTCCCGCCGACGCACGTGACACACGGGGAGTCGGCGTCCGTCGCCGACTTGAGGTCCAGCCCAATGGCGACCTCGTTCTTCGCCGAGCTCCGTATGGTGTCCATGCCGACATGTGCAAGCCGCGCATGCATCCGGTCCGGCGTCGACTTCGTCTTCGAGACGATCGCCCGCAGAGCCACAACCTCCGTCGTGGGCGACGTTGACCTCGTTGAGCAGGGACGCAGGTCGGTGCAGAGGACACGCCCGGAGTACGTCGCCCGACTGAGCACCGCTCCGGCTGCAGAGACGAGCATCATTCCCTCTCCGTCCTCGTGCAGCTTCACGCCGTGCTCCTTCAGCAGGCCGGACGACAGCAGGTTGGCCCGCACACCCGGGACATACAGTACGTCGGGGATGAGTACCTGCTTCCCGGCCTCCCCTTGTTGGGCGACGGTGCCACGGCCCTGGACGTCCTGCAGCGCCCCATTGAAGCCGCGCACATGCCTGATGGCGCCGCTCGGCTGCAGGTCGACGAAGGCTTCCTTCGTCCCCATCAGGTGGTGGGAGCAACCGCTGTCGAGCAGGACCACCGCCGGGTTCGCCTGCACAGCTGCCGCCACCGCCTGGAAGTCCTCTCCGGCCTCCGGCGCCAGCGAGACGGTCGGCTCCACGACGCTGACCAGCGAGCACGACGCCGTCTTGTCATCCCGCGCCTTGCCGCCAGCAGGGGAGTTGGCGTCCTTCGCCGAAGTCGACATCTTGGTCGACTGCTTCTCCTTGCGCGGCCGGTTTCCCTCTTCGACGAGGACGACGACTAATCGACCTCTCGCGGCCGCCCTTGTCGTCGTCGTCGGAGTCACTGCAGTTGGGACACTCGAAGGAGAGGTGATCGGGGCTGTGGCAGATCCAGCACTCTCGACGTCAACCTCCTCCTCCTCGACCGCCATCCTTGGTCGACTTCTTCTCGACCTCCTTGTTCGACTTCCAGCCACCACTCCCGCCGCCACCAGACTGTCCGCGCTGTCCTGGTCGGCCTCCTTGCTTCGCCGGGGCGACGAAGTTGGCCTGCACCAAGAGTTCCTGTGACCGCTCAGCCTCCTGCATCGCCTCGTCCTGCAGGATGTACGAGGTCAGGTTGTCCTCGTTGAGCGTCGCCCTTGTGCTCGGCGCCATTGACAGCCGCTTCAGGAGGTTATAGCTGCTAGAAAGTCCCTGCATGACATGGGTGATTTACGACGCCGTGGAGTACTGCGCGCCGGCCATCCTGATAGTGGCGAGAATTCGCCGAGCTCGGTTGCAGTAGTCAGTCGCTGTCTCCTCGTCACCCATACGCAGGTGCGTCAGCTGTCCCTCCAGCTGGGCGATGAACAGGTCGTCGGTGACCTGGTACGTCGACTCAATGAAGTGCCACGCCCGGTGGCCGGCGTCGATGTACTCCCGGCACCACTTTAAGGCGATCTGCACGCCCGGCGAGCAGCACCGCGAGATGATCGTGAAGGTCAACAGCTGCACGGCGCGAAACTCCGCCCGCAAGTCGGGGTGGTGCTCCCTCGGCGTCGCCACGGTCCCTCGGGCGAAGCCGATCAGCCCGGCCATCTCCAGCTGGGGCTCGATAGCTTCCTTCCAGGTGAGAATGTCGGGTCGACCGACCAGTGGGGGGGTGACTGAGATCCTGTCCGGCGTGAACTTGAAGTAGCCGTAGCTCGGCGCAATCCCGCCTGCCGTCACCTGGGACGCCGACATCGGCGACAGCCCACTCCGTCAACCTCCGACGTCACCCTGCGAAGAGCCTGCAGCCGCCGACGACTGCATCCCTCGCGCCTGAACGCCGCCGACTTCACCGGCGTGTATCACACCTCTCTGCCTCGACGTGCCTCCACCACTGCTGCCGACTTGACCACCACCGGCGTTGACGCCCACGTCGACACCGCCTTCGTTGTTCACCGGACGAGGAGAGGCAGGTCGAGACGGGTGCTCCGTCGCCCACATGGAGCGGAGTCCAGCCTCGACGACCGCCCAGGGCAAGTCGCCATACTCGTTGGCCTCGTGCTTCCTCCTCGCGTTCTCCAACCGTGCCTCCAGGGAGTCCACCACCCCCGCGTCACCTACGGCTCCTACCATAGTGACTACCGCACAGTTGCCGGCCTGTAACTACGAAATAGGTAAGTGGTGTCTACGTCGACCTGACTGAAAGGTAAGTCGTGTGCCGTCCACGCTCACCGCACCATGCGGAGATAACTGCTACAACGGGAGCTAGAATACGGGCTAGGCACGGGTGCTCGTGTGATCTCTGCGTTCGTTAGTCCTTAGTCGTTTTCCTTGTGCACACACTACTTGCTTGTTCACGGGGAAAATTGGCAAGAGTTCCACTAGGAAAAGTTCAGAACAATGATACAATGAAGTTGGCATAGCAAGACTACATCAGAGCAAGCATTCAGGTCGGCCAACTGCCAGCGCAGCTTGGTCGACCGCGTTCCAGCACGACTTGGTCGACCGCGCTCCAGCAAGGCAAGGTCGACGGCGTGCCAACGTCGCAGGTTGACAGCGTGCCAGCATTGCTTGCGCAGAACAGCAGTGCACCCGCTTCGCAGGTGCGCGCAGATAATTGGCGTGCAGAGTCTCGTCACCTGCACAGCGCACACACCACGTCAACCTCGTGCTGACGACTGCTTCTGATCGGCCACGTCGACCTCGGGATACCACCACCGAGGTCGGGCTCGCCAACTTCGCCTGGGCGACCGTCGCACTCCTCCGCAGCACTTCGTCACCCAGGTAACCTGGTCGACCGGGTAACCACGTCGACCAGCTGCTCCCAAAGTTGGCGTCACGAAGTTGACGCCCCGCTACTCGACGCCCAACTGCTTGGTGTCCTGAGTTGAGGTCGATGTCGGCCCCTCCTTCGTCGACCACCAGGTCCAGTCAACCACCCGCAGGTCGACCAGCAGTCCGTCAGCCGACCACCGAAGTCGGCTTCCCCAAGTTGATGTCACCAAGTTGACGTCCTCCACAGGTCGACTCCCAAGTCGACCCCCCCCCCGAAGTCGGCGCCACCCTGGAGTCGGCGCCCGTGCAGTGATCCCCGTGCAGGTCGACCTCCTCGTCAACCAGCTGGCCCACTGCTGCAGGTCGGCTTCTCCCCTCACCCCGACCACGATGTCGGCTCCGCCCAAGCGAGGACGGGGCCAACACACAACTCCCGTTGACAGAATATTCTTTGTGGTTCTTGTGTGAACAATTGTGATTGAGTTAAGTTTCAGCTACAGCATATCCCTTAGGGCGCCAAAATTCAGAACTCAAGAAATGCATCATCTTTTGATATGGTTCAAATTGGAGCTTGTAGCCACGGTGTAGAGCTACAACATATCCAACATTGGAATGCTTGTCAACGACGTTTCTTGTGAAGTCGGCAATTCTGTCCGGAAACTTAGTCCAATGATTTTGAGATATTTCGGCCCATAATCTTCATATACGAAGTTATGCTTCATCTTTTGTTGTTTTCCTAGGTTGGAAAAATAGAACCAGAGGTTGTTTACCAACCTACCACCTGCTGTTTTGTTTAGCCAGGTTGGTTCTGTTGCTTGGAATTATTTGGAATCATCCCTGGTTGTTCCCAGGTTTATTCCCAAGGTCCTTGCTAGCTAGAACTACTTATTCCTTCTCTGTTTGTACCTGGATATACTCAATTTGATTCAAGCGAATTCCTCCCTTCCTGGAATTTCGTTTCTACGCGGTGCAATGGCGGAATGCTACCCGAGTCAACGCTAGTACGCTAGCACTCCAACACTAGGCAAACGTTGTCCGAGCCATAACTTCGTAATGGCAGAACCGGTTCCACGCCCTTATTCTGGTTGAATCTAAGCGGGACTTTTGTTATGGCATATTTCGCAAGGTTGGTGAAGATAGATTCAATGCAGCCATGTCATACCAAATGTCTGCTAGCAAAATAATTCGGCTAAAAAAAACCATTAATTTTACAATATAACAATGCATTTTCCAAATCAGTGTCGGATGCTTTACCGGTATGTCCTATGTCCTGGCAATGCAAGTATGTTCAACAAGGTTGTGGATAAAACCTGCCACGTTGTTTGTTATAACTTTGCACAATATTTTCATGCGAAGCAACTCGGGTCCTTCATATTTTGTACCCGTTGAAAAGGGACGCCTTCATTTGTAGAGTTTATATCACGCTAGGGTGTTATACCCGGGGAATTACAGTAAACATTCATGCCAAATACACATGGGTACCGTCATTATGGGCATTTTTAACGCCCTTTGGTTGGCTTCGAGTGCAGCCAGCTCTTGAGGCCATCACCTATCGAGCCAACGCGCACAAATGAACTCACACCAGACTGTGAACCATGCGGCCTCTCAGCCTCCCTCCTGCTGTCTCCAAATGACACAGCAAAATCATCCCTAGTTTAACTACTCTTGTTGCTTTCACTCTCTTCTTCTGTGGCACTCTCCCACTCATCCTCCTTGTCGGGGCAGTGCTTGGCAATGAGGGCACTGAGGCGGTATGCCACATCCTTCATAGTGGGTCGCCGTGTGCCGGGAGACTTGATGCAGTCCAGAGCCAGGTCTGCAAGTTCCACTACAGCCTCTTCACTTGCCGCCGGCATCTTGCTGTCCCTCAGCTCTTCTAGCTCATATGTCTCCACCAGCTTCATAGCCTGAAAGGAGTTTATAAAAGAAAGGGTGATGGAAAGCAGCATGCTAAGTATGGAAGACGGTGGAAGGCAGCAAGATGACAAAAACATTACTGTACAAATGAGTGGTAGTACAAAAGTGAATTACGGATAAATGAGTGGCCATTAGATCCATTTGAGATTCGATGGACATTAGCATTGTCTTAAATGCACTATTTTTATTTGTTTTTTAGCAAACTCAAATCTTGGATAACACACTTACCCATTTGCATATGTGCGTTCTTGTGTTGACTTGGGGCGACTTTCCACTTAGCAGCTCAAGAAGCACGACTCCAAAGCTGCAAGCAATCATGCATTTAATATAAGAGGGAAAAAGATGGAGAAAAAAAGAGAGAGAGGTACAGGGTACATGTATTTAGCATAACCTGGATATTAAGAGAAACAGGGGCGCAGAAGTGTAACGTGTTGTGGAAAGGAACAAGCATACTGACCTGAACACGTCACTCTTGGCTGTGATGACATTGGTGCGGTTGTAATCCGGATCCACATAGCCCGGAGTGCCAGCAACTCGCGTGGCATCAGCATCGCCGTGAGTGAGGCGCTTGAGCAGCCCAAAGTCAGCCACCTTGGCTTGCATGTCTTCAGTCACAAGAATGTTGGCGGGCTTGATGTCGCGGTGAACGATGGGCGTGTCAAACCCGTGCAGGTACGCCAAGCCCTCTGCTGCTCCCAGTGCCAGGCGCAGCCTCTGGCGTAGAGACAGCGGACCTGGGCCATGCAACGAGTATACCATGTAGTGAGAAAAACAAACAACATATGGATGATAGGTTTGTGAGTGATGGTGTCATGCTGTGCAAGAAAATTAATAATAATGTAAACAAAAGGCGCGTGGCAACCATAGTGCAAACTCACGCTTGGTCTTGTGGATATGGTACTCCATGTCCCTATTGCCTATGAAATCGTACACGAGGATCTGCTCCTGCTTGCCTGTCTCCACGTTCTGGTCCAGGCAAAAGCCCAGCAGGCGCACGAGGTGTGTGTGGTGGAGAGAGGCCATGGCTCGCACCTGTAGTGAGAACACAAGACAGGCAATGACGCACATGGCCATGGAATGGCGGGCATTCAGTTCGCAGGTCAGCAGTTGTCACATGAACATGGATCACAATGCAGGGGGATGTGCATGGATTTAAGCTGGAGGTCAGCATTTTGAAGAACACAATGTGGCCCCGAATCAGAATGTTAGCATTCTGAGCAACAAAAAATATTCCTAGAATCTAAGTCACTACACCACTGGGATAAAAGCGTTTTTTAAGTAGTGAGCGCGTCCATTATCCCCTAGGCAAGCGTGCTTGTAACCATTTCTCAGTATCAATCGGGGGATCCCCAGTGCACGTCTACTGGCACCCCCCCCCCAACCCCTCACCCCTCACTGGGATGACTTAGGACACGGTACAGTGGCAACAACACATGGGCGCCAGTATGTGCGCATATGAAGTTTCGAATAGGAAACCTTTGCTCTGTTATCACGTCAGGATTAAGCTACTGCACAACTAGGATGGAATGGTTGTTAAGGAGCGGGTGAGTGCATCCATAAACCCCATGCAAGAGTGCTTGTAAACCTTCCCTGGGATCAATCGAGGATTCACAGTGCATGTGTTCTGACAAGTACTGATTTTTTTGTCCTCACCTCCGTTTCGAAGTCGTTGGTCATGATGGTGGATCGCTTGATGGCCCACAGCTGGCCCTGTGGAGAGCGGCCTTTGTATACAATGCCAAAGCCACCCTTGCCCAGCACATTGTCCTCCGACCATTTGTTGGTGGCCCTTAGCATCTGCTGCAGCGAGAATTGCTCGCACACATCCAGCCCCTCCCACTTCTCTGCGCACAGAAAAATTACAGACTAGAGGTGTGAGGGACTAAGGGTGTAGATGCGTGGACAGACCATGAGAAAAGAGTGGAGGCGAGCATGAGGGGAGAGTAGAGGCGAGCATGAGGGCAGAGTAGAGGCGAGCACGAGGGCAGAGTAGAGGCGAGCATGAGGGCCAGAGTAGAGACGAGCATGAGGGCAGAGTAGAGGCGAGCATGAGGGCAGAGTAGAGGCGAGCATGAGGGCAGAGTAGAGGCGAGCATGAGGGCAGAGTAGAGGCGAGCATGAGGGCAGAGTAGAGGCGAGCATGAGGGCAGAGTAGAGGCGAGCATGAGGGCAGAGTAGAGGCGAGCATGAGGGCAGAGTAGAGACGAGCATGAGGGCAGAGTAGAGGCGAGCATGAGGGCAGAGTACAAGCGAGCATGAGGGCAGAGTAGAGGCGAGCATGAGGGCAGAGTAGAGGCGAGCATGAGGGCAGAGTACAGGCGAGCATGAGGGCAGAGTAGAGGCGAGCATGAGGGCAGAGTAGAGGCGAGCATGAGGGCAGAGTAGAGGCGAGCATGGGGGCAGAGTAGAGGCGAGCATGAGGGCAGAGTACAGGCGAGCACGATGGCAGAGTAGAGGCGAGCATGAGGGCAGAGTAGAGGCGAGCATGAGGGCAGAGTAGAAGCGAGCATGAGGGCAGAGTAGAGGCGAGCATGAGGGCAGAGTAGAGGCGAGCATGAGGGCAGAGTAGAGGCGAGCATGAGGGCAGAGTAGAGGCGAGCATGAGGGCAGAGTAGAGGCGAGCATGAGGGCAGAGTAGAGGCGAGCATGAGGGCAGAGTAGAGGCGAGCAGAAGGGCAGAGTAGAGGCGAGCATGAGGGCAGAGTAGAGGCGAGCATGAGGGCAGAGTAGAGGCGAGCATGAGGGCAGAGTAGAGGCGAGCATGAGGGCAGAGTACAGGCGAGCATGAGGGCAGAGTAGAGGCGAGCATGAGAAAATAATACAGGCGAGCATGAAGGTAGAGTAGAGGCGAGCATGAGGGCAGAGTAGAGGCGAGCATGAGGGCAGAGTAGAGGCGAGCATGAGGGCAGAGTACAGACGAGCATGAGGGCAGAGTAGAGGCGAGCATGAGGGCAGAGTAGAGGCGAGCATGAGGGCAGAGTACAGGCGAGCATGAGGGCAGAGTAGAGGCGAGCATGAGGGCAGAGTAGAGGCGAGCATGAGGGCAGAGTAGAGGCGAGCATGAGGGCAGAGTAGAGGCGAGCATGAGGGCAGAGTAGAGGCGAGCATGAGGGCAGAGTAGAGGCGAGCATGAGGGCAGAGTAGAGGCGAGCATGAGGGCAGAGTAGAGACGAGCATGAGGGCAGAGTAGAGGCGAGCATGAGGGCAGAGTACAGGCGAGCATGAGGGCAGAGTAGAGGCGAGCATGAGGGCAGAGTAGAGGCGAGCATGAGGGCAGAGTACAGGCGAGCATGAGGGCAGAGTACAGGCGAGCATGAGGGCAGAGTAGAAGCGAGCATGAGGGCAGAGTAGAGGCGAGCATGAGGGCAGAGTAGAGGCGAGCATGAGGGCAGAGTAGAGGCGAGCATGAGGGCAGAGTAGAGGCGAGCATGAGGGCAGAGTACAGGCGAGCATGAGGGCAGAGTAGAGGCGAGAATGAGAAAATAATCCAAGCGAGCATGAGGGCAGAGTAGAGGCGAGCATGAGAAAATAATACAGGCGAGCATGAGGGCAGAGTACAGGCGAGCATGAGGGTAGAGTAGAGGCGAGCATAAGGGCAGAGTAGAGGCGAGCATGAGGGCAGAGTACAGGTGAGCATGAGGGCAGAGTAGAGGCGAGCATGAGGGCAGATTACAGGCGAGCATGAGGGCAGAGTAGAGGCGAGCATGAGGGCAGAGTAGAGGCGAGCATGAGAAAATAATACAGGCGAGCATGAGGGCAGAGTAGAGGCGAGCATGAGAAAATAATACAGGCGAGCATGAGGGCAGAGTAGAGGCGAGCATGAGGGCAGAGTACAGACGAGCATGAGGGTAGAGTAGAGGCGGGCATGAGGGCAGAGTACAGGCGAGCATGAGGGCAGAGTAGAGGCGAGCATGAGGGCAGAGTAGAGGCGAGCATGAGGGCAGAGTACAGGCGAGCATGAGGGCAGAGTAGAGGCGAGCATGAGGGCAGAGAAGAGGCGAGCATGAGGGCAGAGTAGAGGCGAGCATGAGAAAATAATACAAGCGAGCATGAGGGCAGAGTAGAGGTGAGCATGAGGGCAGAGTAGAGGCGAGCATGAGGGCAGAGTCGAGGCGAGCATGAGGGCAGAGTAGAGGCGAGCATGAGGGCAGAGTAGAGGCGAGCATGAGGGCAGAGTACAGGCGAGCATGAGGGCAGAGTAGAGGCGAGCATGAGAAAAAAATCCAAGCGAGCATGAGGGCAGAGTAGAGGCGAGCATGAGAAAATAATACAGGCGAGCATGAGGGCAGAGTACAGGCGAGCATGAGGGTAGAGTAGAGGCGAGCATAAGGGCAGAGTAGAGGCGAGCATGAGGGCAGAGTACAGGTGAGCATGAGGGCAGAGTAGAGGCGAGCATGAGGGCAGATTACAGGCGAGCATGAGGGCAGAGTAGAGGCGAGCATGAGGGCAGAGTAGAGGCGAGCATGAGAAAATAATACAGGCGAGCATGAGGGCAGAGTAGAGGCGAGCATGAGAAAATAATACAGGCGAGCATGAGGGCAGAGTAGAGGCGAGCATGAGGGCAGAGTACAGGCGAGCATGAGGGTAGAGTAGAGGCGGGCATGAGGGCAGAGTACAAGCGAGCATGAGGGCAGAGTAGAGGCGAGCATGAGGGCAGAGTAGAGGCGAGCATGAGGGCAGAGTACAGGCGAGCATGAGGGCAGAGTAGAGGCGAGCATGAAGGCAGAGAAGAGGCGAGCATGAGGGCAGAGTACAGGTGAGCATGAGGGCAGAGTAGAGGCGAGCGTGAGGGCAGATTACAGGCGAGCATGAGGGCAGAGTAGAGGCGAGCATGAGGGCAGAGTAGAGGCGAGCATGAGAAAATAATACAGGCGAGCATGAGGGCAGAGTAGAGGCGAGCATGAGAAAATAATACAGGCGAGCATGAGGGCAGAGTAGAGGCGAGCATGAGGGCAGAGTACAGGCGAGCATGAGGGTAGAGTAGAGGCGGGCATGAGGGCAGAGTACAAGCGAGCATGAGGGCAGAGTAGAGGCGAGCATGAGGGCAGAGTAGAGGCGAGCATGAGGGCAGAGTACAGGCGAGCATGAGGGCAGAGTAGAGGCGAGCATGAAGGCAGAGAAGAGGCGAGCATGAGGGCAGAGTAGAGGCGAGCATGAGAAAATAATACAAGCGAGCATGAGGGCAGAGTAGAGGTGAGCATGAGGGCAGAGTAGAGGCAAGCATGAGGGCAGAGTAGAGGCGAGCATGAGGGCAGAGTAGAGGCGAGCATGAGGGCAGAGTAGAGGCGAGCAGAAGGGCAGAGTACAGGCGAGCATGAGGGCAGAGTAGAGGCGAGCATGAGGGCAGAGTAGAGGCGAGCATGAGGGTAGAGTATAGGCGAGCATGAGGGCAGAGTAGAGGCGAGCATGAGGGCAGAGTACACGCGAGCATGAGGGCAGAGTAGAGGCGAGCATGAGGGCAGAGTAGAGGCGAGCATGAGGGCAGAGTAGAAGCGAGCATGAGAAAATAATACAAGCGAGCATGAGGGCGGAATAGAGGCGAGCATGAGGGCAGAGTAGAGGCGAGCATGAGGGCAGAGTACCGGCGAGCATGAGGGCAGAGTAGAGGCGAGCATGAGGGCAGAGTAGAGGCGAGCATGAGGGCAGAGTAGAGGCGAGCATGAGGGCAGAGTAGAGGCGAGCATGAGGGCAGAGTACAGGCGAGCATGAGAAAATAATACAGGCGAGCATGAGGGCAGAGTACAGGCGAGCATGAGGGTAGAGTAGAGGCGAGCATAAGGGCAGAGTAGAGGCGAGCATGAGGGCAGAGTACAGGTGAGCATGAGGGCAGAGTAGAGGCGAGCATGAGGGCAGATTACAGGCGAGCATGCGGGCAGAGTAGAGGCGAGCATGAGAAAATAATACAGGCAAGCATGAGGGCAGAGTAGAGGCGAGCATGAGAAAATAATACAGGCGAGCATGAGGGCAGAGTAGAGGCGAGCATGAGGGCAGAGTACAGGCGAGCATGAGGGTAGAGTAGAGGCGGGCATGAGGGCAGAGTACAGGCGAGCATGAGGGCAGAGTAGAGGCGAGCATGAGGGCAGAGTACAGGCGAGCATGAGGGTAGAGTAGAGGCGAGAATGAGGGCAGAGTACAGGCGAGCATGAGGGCAGAGTAGAGGCGAGCATGAGGGCAGAGTACAGGCGAGCATGAGGGCAGAGTAGAGGCGAGTATGAGGGCAGAGTAGAGACGAGCATGAGGGCAGAGTACAGGCGAGCATGAGGGCAGAGTAGAGACGAGCATGAGGGCAGAGTAGAGGCGAGCATGAGGGCAGAGTACAGGCGAGCATGAGGGCAGAGTAGAGGCGAGCATGAGAAAATAATACAGGCGAGCATGAGGGCAGAGTAGAGGCGAGCATGAGGGCAGAGTAGAGGCGAGCATGAGGGCAGAGTAGAGGCGAGCATGAGGGCAGAGTAGAGGCGAGCATGAGGGCAGAGTACAGGCGAGCATGAGGGTAGAGTACAGGCGAGCATGAGGGCAGAGTAGAGGCGAGCATGAGGGCAGAGTAGAGGCGAGCATGAGGGCAGAGTACAGGCGAGCTTGAGGGCAGAGTAGAGGCGAGCATGAGGGCAGAGTAGAGGCGAGCATGAGGGCAGAGTACAGGCGAGCATGAGGGCAGAGTAGAGGCGAGCATGAGGGTAGAGGAGAGGCGAGCATGAGGGCAGAGTAGAGGTGAGCATGAGAAAATAATACAAGCGAGCATGAGGGAAGAGTAGAGGTGAGCATGAGGGCAGAGTAGAGGCGAGCATGAGGGCAGAGTAAAGGCGAGCATGAGGGCAGAGTAGAGGCGAGCATGAGGGCAGAGTACAGGCGAGCATGAGGGCAGAGTACAGGCGAGCATGAGGGCAGAGTAGAGGCGAGCATGAGGGCAGAGTAGAGGCGAGCATGAGGGTAGAGTACAGGCGAGCATGAGGGCAGAGTAGAGGCGAGCATGAGGGCAGAGTAGAGGCGAGCATGAGGGCAGAGTAGAGGCGAGCATGAGGGCAGAGTAGAGGCGAACATGAGGGCAGAGTACAGGCGAGCATGAGGGCAGAGTACAGGCGAGCATGAGGGCAGAGTAGAGGCGAGCATGAGGGCAGAGTACAGGCGAGCATGAGGGCAGAGTAGAGGCGAGCATGAGGGCAGAGTAGAGGCGAGCATGAGAAAATAATACAAGCGAGCATGAGGGCAGAGTAGAGGCGAGCATGAGGGCATAGGAGAGGCGAGCATGAGGGCAGAGTACAGGCGAGCGCCGCAGAGTAGAGGCGAGCATGAGGGCAGAGTAGAGGCGAGCATGAGGGCAGAGTAGAGGCGAGCATGAGGGCAGAGTAGAGGCGAGCATGAGGGCAGAGTACAGGCGAGCATGAGGGTAGAGTACAGGCGAGCATGAGGGCAGAGTAGAGGCGAGCATGAGGGCAGAGTAGAGGCGAGCATGAGGGCAGAGTAGAGGCGAGCATGAGGGCAGAGTAGAGGCGAGCATGAGGGCAGAGTAGAGGCGAGCATGAGAAAATAATACAAGCGAGCATGAGGGCAGAGTAGAGGCGAGCATGAGGGCAGAGTAGAGGCGAGCATGAGGGCAGAGTACAGGCGAGCATGAGGGCAGAGTAGAGGCGAGCATGAGAGCAGAGTAGAGGCGAGCATGAGGGCAGAGTACAGGCGAGCATGAGGGCAGAGTAGAGGCGAGCATGAGGGCAGAGTACAGGCGAGCATGAGGGTAGAGTACAGGCGAGCATGAGGGCAGAGTAGAGGCGAGCATGAGGGCAGAGTAGAGGCGAGCATGAGGGCAGAGTACAGGCGAGCATGAGGGCAGAGTAGAGGCGAGCATGAGGGCAGAGTAGAGGCGAGCATGAGGGCAGAGTACAGGCGAGCATGAGGGCAGAGTAGAGGCGAGCATGAGGGCAGAGGAGAGGCGAGCATGAGGGCAGAGTAGAGGCGAGCATGAGAAAATAATACAAGCGAGCATGAGGGCAGAGTAGAGGTGAGCATGAGGGCAGAGTAGAGGCGAGCATGAGGGCAGAGTACAGGCGAGCATGAGGGCAGAGTAGAGGCGAGCATGAGGGCAGAGTAGAGGCGAGCATGAGGGCAGAGTACAGGCGAGCATGAGGGCAGAGTAGAGGCGAGCATGAGGGCAGAGTAGAGGCGAGCATGAGGGTAGAGTACAGGCGAGCATGAGGGCAGAGTAGAGGCGAGCATGAGGGCAGAGTAGAGGCGAGCATGAGGGCAGAGTAGAAGCGAGCATGAGAAAAAAATACAAGCGAGCATGAGGGCGGAGTAGAGGCGAGCATGAGGGCAGAGTAGAGGCGAGCATGAGGGCAGAGTACAGGCAAGCATGAGGGCAGAGTAGAGGCGAGCATGAGGGCAGAGTAGAGGCGAGCATGAGGGCAGAGTACAGGCGAGCATGAGGGCAGAGTAGAGGCGAGCATGAGGGCAGAGTACAGGCGAGCATGAGAAAATAATACAGGCGAGCATGAGGGCAGAGTACAGGCGAGCATGAGGGTAGAGTA